TTTTATAAAGAATATCTCTTTGGATTTGAGACTTTAGTCTTTGCAACTTTACAGATCTTCTTTATGCACCAAGAGCTTGTAACACTTCAAAGAGAAAGGAAAAATTGAAATAGTTTCATATGACCCCTTTAACTTAAAATACTCTGTCATATTTGCTCATACAGAATAATGTCTTTCAAATGTGTAAAAGGTTTACTTTTATGTGTGTGCACTCACAATAACAACAAAACGTTGTTCCTTTGTAAAATAATGAAAGCAAACTGTGAATTTGAGCATGTCAAAAATAAATAAATAAATAATCAAAGCTCTGTGCTTGCCTCACAGACATGAAAAATATATCAAGTCAAGTCAAGTCAAGTCTGCTTTATTGTCAATTCTTCCACATGTACAGCACATACACACAGAGAATTGAAATTGCGTTACTCTCAGACCCTTGGTGCATACAGATAACACTAACAGTAGAACATAATTTAGTGCCTCGCTCCTGTTGCTGTTGTTGGAGCTGGGAGGGATGTATACAGCAACGAGCATTATGGCTGTATATTCCCTCGGTAGATAGAACGGCCGGCACTTAATAATCATAAACTCCACCAGGGGTGAGCAGTGTTTGCAGACCACAACAGCATCGCGGCACCACACGTCATTGATGTAAACACAAAGCCCGCCGCCGCGGGTCTTACCTCCCTCGACGCGAGCTCTGTCCGCTCGATAGCATGTCAGCTGATCGAGATGAATAGCGCAGTCCGGAACGCTGTTGTTGAGCCATGTTTCCGTGAACACAAAAACACAACAGTCTCTTACAGTCCTCTGAGTTGAGCGTAGTAGTCGGATGTCTATAGATATATCTATAGAAAGCGAAATGTCTACTTTTAAATTAACCCATTCAAATTGAAAACAAATATTTTCGGATCATGTAATCTGTATGAAACATGCACGTCCCCTGTGGAGATGACGAGTCAGTGTCGTCGACTTCATCACTGCAGCCGAAAATACAGAAAACACTAGTTTATCAATGCATTATAATATGAAGGTAGTCTTCTTGCTGTTTTTTTTCCCTGGCACATTCATAATCATTACTTCTGCCAGTGTGCTGTGGCAAGTTTTATGCGTGTGCGCTTGAACAGTGATGGGTTATAGGCAATAAAAGGCAAATTTTTATGTATTATATGGTTTATTAATATAAACGTGCCATTAATTGACTAATTGCTAAAAATGAACGACTACTAGTTGACTAGAAAAAACTTAAGTCGAGGGCAGCCATAATTATTTCACTATATTATTGTTTTATTCTATTTTTGATCAAATAAATTCAGTCTTGGTGAGGATAAGATACTTTATGATATTTAGAGACATTAATAAATCTTAATTATTCCAAACTTTTGACCGGTAGTGTACTGTTTATGTGTTTTATTTTGTGAATTATATGTGTGACGAGATAGACAGATGTGATGTCTAATTTGTGAAGGATTTGCTTGTTGAGGCTGTTCATTTTATAGAATTTAAAATTCTTTGTTAATCAGTCTGGGTAGAACTTGATTGGTGTGAATCATGGACTTAATTGGTCACACACTTCCTCACTGGATGTCTTAGTTTTCAGTTGTGTCAGACAACTGATAACCTACAAATCAGTTTAAAACATACACATAGCATTGTTGAAAATCCCAAGAAGCAGAATCCTGTTGCAAACCCCGGCGCACACACACACACACGCATGGCCACAGCTAGTGTGCTTTTTTTGTACACTGAGTGAAAGCGAGGGAGTTGGGTGAGGTCTGCTACTGTCATTAGTAAAGGGAGGGGGTGAGAGAGCGCTCTCTTTTGGATTCCCAATTAGCACAGATTGTGCACTCGCTAATGTGCAGCACCATTTGCAAAATGTGCGAGAGGAGAGACCCCCCTTCAGCCAGTACTGCATGTGCATCACATCTCCCACTGACAGCAGCACTCAAGGGCCGCAAAACGAACAGATAAAGAGTGTTTGAGAAAATAAATGAACTCTAATGAGAATGCGCTGACAGTTATGACATTTCAGTAAGATTTCCCATAATCACAATGTTTACGAGCAAAATATTGTCAGCAAATACAAGTAAATACAAAAACCCAAGCTGAAAAGCCCAATAACAGAAAACAAACACACACACACACACACACACACACACAAAAAAAAAAAATCATTACTGTTCAGACTGGTGATGCAGTTTCAATGCAGCTCGGATGCTAATTGTTTCTCAGAGTGACATCTGTACAAGAACATGCATGGCTCCACTGTGAGAACTTTTGCATCCAGACAGTAATTAATTTACTAGAGAATGAGGCAGTTGTGTAATTTTTCATTGCATAGTTTTGTTAGCAATACAACAAATGTGAAAATTCTGTACCTACTGGGCCAAAATCCTAAAATAGCTTCAAATACTGTTTAATAAATTGACAACTGTTCTCATAGAAAAATTGTATGTTTTTCATGTAATATTGACTTTAAACAAACAATTTTACATAGCAGGGTTTCCCATAGGGAGGTGAGTTGGTGAAAAGGTAATAATTATATATATATATATATATCACAAAAATGTAAACTAAAAATAAATAAATAGGGCTGCACTATTAAAATAATATTTAAATCACTGTATGGCTTGAGACAATTATCAAATCACAAAAGGCTGCGATTTAGTCCAATGTGCTGTGTGTTTTAGAGTGAAGCGCTGCACTTGTTCGTTTACTCGCACGAATTGAACCAAGGCTCTGTGAGATATATTTAATATAACATATTAACAAATTAAATTGCAGCCTTTGCTATCACATTATCACGTTAAGCCAAATCACAATATTATGCTGTTTCATGCAGCCCTAGCTTTCAGCCAGTGTTTGAATAAAGATGGCAGTTGTAGGTTGATTAGGAGGTCTTGTCATTTGACTGATTTGTAGTGTGATTTCATTGTCGGAGCCATCCAAGGATGTTATATCCTCTTCCGTAATCCTCTTAGAGTTTGGTCTCCCAGTCTGTGGCACTGGGCCATGGACTGAAAACCCATTACTAGTCAGATTGTTGCACAAATAGTACAGTGAGGATTGGATGCAAGAGAAAGGAAAAATTGAAATCGCATCATATGACCCCTTTAATGACTTGGGGCAAAACACTACCCAAGTACTTGAATGCAACAGCTTCTGGCAATGAAAGGTCAAATTCAGTTTTCTTTGCCATACAAAATGTGTCAATGGAATTCATAACTTTGCAAGTTGCACATTGCATTCTTATCATTGCACTTTAAGTATGCAGAATGGAAGCATGCACTTGCAATACTGGCCAGGCATTCACATCTACATTTGTGCACTGAATGAATGTTTACTTGGGTTATGTTTCTGATCGAATAGTTGAAAGTCTGAAAAGTAATTTCTCTTATCTCTTCTCTTGTCCCTCTCAGAGAAAAGCTCTGTGCCTTCTGCTACTGTGGAGAAAAGGGTCTCTTGGGTCAGGGTGAGTTGAAACTGTTTGGACCCACGCCTGGTTACGTTCCCCTGCACATCCAGAACCGCCGTGGCAGCTCTGAGAAGGATGACGATTACCATGACGACGACAATGATTTTGATGACAATGACAACAACTGCAGCCCAGGGCATCGTGGGAGTGGCTTGAAAAAGTGAGTTATTACTGCAGTTGTCTGGTGTAGGTGCTTTGGATGGATGTTTGGTTCTCCAAAAATGTTTTAAAAAAAGAAATGGAAAAAAAAGGATTGCAATAAAGATGCAAAATATGCACATTCATTGATTTCGTCACACTACTGTTTTTTTTTTTTTTCTCCAACATCTCAGGCCACGAGTGATCAATTTATGTCAGGTTAGGACTCAATTCAACTGTTATATATAAATCTTTCATATATTAAGGATGCTCCAATCAGGATTTTTGGAGCCGATCACCAACCATTGATCACAGGAAGCAATATCTGCAGATACGATCACCGATACCGATCTTTTTGAAGCCTTCCTTTTTATCATGTAGAGTTATTTATAGTGATGCTCCAGTCAGGATTTTTACAGACATTCATTCAGGGCCTGAATTTCATTTTTGAATATGGGGGGAATTCCCCTCTTAGGAGACTCTTGTGGAGGGGATTTTTTAATTTGAGGGATGGAGAAAGGGCATTTTTTTAGACATTTTTCAAAAATATATAATTATCTCACCTAAATATTTGATAATATCAATTTGATAATATCAAATATTTTTACAATGGGGCAATTGCTGCACAATAGCTTATACACAGCACAAGCCGGATTTCTGTACACTCTTAAAAAGAGTTTGCATCATTTTTTTTTGTTATGACAGCTTCTAATGAAATTGTTCAACCAACAAACTACATTGAGTTAGAAGAACTTAATTTGTAACATAAACATATTTTTAAATTAAAGGCACAATATGTAAGATTTTTTAATTAAAATATCCAAAAACCACTAGAACAGTGTTATATATTTTGCTGACTTGTGTACTTACATTATCCCAAATGTTTCGAAGAATGTTTAAATCCAGAGAAATAAGCAATTTTAACTAGTTACAGGAACCGTGTCCATAGTGTCATTGTGTCGCCTGCCAATGATGTCATAACCCCTCGATTTCCGGTTTTGTTTTGTAGAAAACATGGAAACACCAAAGACGCTTTAATATGTTGTGCGTTTTAATAGACCGGTGACGACCGCACAGAGTAGCATTATAACAGAACTTTCAAATGTATCTAGTATGATAAAACGCAATAAAGCGCTGCTTTTTTTCCCACATACGCACGACCGGAAGGATCATGTGTCACGCTCGTTCAGCGGCCTCGTTTCGCTTCGACGGCTTTCAGCCTCACCCTGCTTCATTCTACTACGTTAATAAATCATTAGCTCATCCATGAACATGATTTCTGCCCGAGTCCCGTCGAATTGCTTCGGCTGTGAGGATGAAGACAACAACTCCCATGATTCCACACGCGTCATCAAACTACATCTTTGTCTATTTGTTTATTTTGAATACGCGCCCTCTAGCGGTGAATATTACATATTGTGCCTTTAATTACTCAAAAAAATTAAGTTGCTCCAACTAATGGATTTGTTGGCCTGGAACCAATTTATATGATCTTTTTTTCAGTTCAAATCCACAGCTATCATAGCACACGCTAAATTTAACTTACTTAGCATGTATAATGAACAAGAAAGATGTTACTTGTCACTGGCATTAGCGCAGCCATTGCAAATAGAGTCAATGTAGGGTATACCTTCATGTGGTCTCTTCAGTACAATGGCAACCATAAAAACTTCAACGTAACAGAAACTCTTTTAAATGTTAAACATAACAGCATTAAACACTAATAGGTCTTTCCCTTCACTAAAATAAAACACATAACATAACACTTGATTTCAACATTTACTCTCTTTATCCAGTCCTATGCAAAGCATGCTGGGAACTAGAAATCCACTTCCCAATTTCCAAAGTTAACAAGACAATTTTATTGAGTTACTACAACTTAATTTGCGCATTTTGAAAGGTAAAGAGAGAGAGCGTGCGGCGATTCACTCGCGCGGTTTGTGAAATTACGTCTAACAGAAAGTTTTCAAATTACTTTAAGTTATTTTATAAAAAATAGGGCTGCACGATAAATCGCATGCTGTTAAACATAACAGCATTAAACACTAATAGGTCTTTCCCTTCACTAAAATAAAACACATAACATAACACTTGATTTCAACATTTACTCTCTTTATCCAGTCCTATGCAAAGCATGCTGGGAACTAGAAATCCACTTCCCAATTTCCAAAGTTAACAAGACAATTTTATTGAGTTACTACAACTTAATTTGCGCATTTTGAAAGGTAAAGAGAGAGAGCGTGCGGCGATTCACTCGCGCGGTTTGTGAAATTACGTCTCACAGAAAGTTTTCAAATTACTTTGTTATTTTATAAAGAATAGGGCTGCACGATAAATCGCATGCGATATTTAACGAGCATCTTATCAGTAAAGCCGGTTCTGTAATTAACTACACAGAGCCGTTGTTCACTGACGAGTTGCGCAAAACCACGTTCATATTCGCGCGATTTTTTTGCGCAACTCATCAGTGAACAACGGCTCTGTGTAGTTAATGCTGCTCAATGTGAAAGCCCGCAGGTGATGGAGATTTACCGCTGATTACAGAACCGGATTTCTGACAAGATGCGCATTAAATATCACATGCGATTTATCGTGCAGCCCTAATAAAGAAATATGAATTGTACCTCACCTTCAGCATTATAATTATTTTACCTGCGCCTGACAGAGATTGAGACGGTGCCGCTACATGTCATGCCAAACCTCTCACGGCATGCTGGCGCGTCGTTAGCTTGAGATCGGTTTATGAGATTGGCCTTTATAGAGCTCGCCGATCAAACTTCCCAAAGTGATTATCGGCCGCTAGCGATCGGTAGCCGATCAATCAGAGCGCCCCTAGCATTTAGTACCATTCTGTTGTGAAAACAGTTAAAAAGAAAAAAAAAATTAAATTACAGTTTGTTTTGTACTTAAGTGGCATGCACAATGATAAAGTACAGGATGTGGTATTCATTGCGGAAGTGGCTTGGTACAGTTCTGAAGTGTTTGATTGACATGGCTTTAAGCTGTGATGTGTAATGAGGTTGTGTCGAGGTGAGAGTTGAGAAGGGTTTGCAGGTTTTGTTTGCTGTGGGGACTAAAAGCCCCTTGTTTAAAAAGCAGTGACCCCAGTGACCCCCGCAGAGCTGAAATAATGCTGAGTGCTGTGCTAGGCAACATCTCATTAGGGTGTCCAGTGTAATTACTCATAGTAATCAAAAACAATGAGTCCGTAAACTAGGTTCATCTTTGTAATGGTGAGGTTTGAATTTTTCACATAATCTTAAAATTGATTTTTAAATTCATTAAGCATAATACTCTTAATACCTTAATGCTCACACAAAAAAAGTGTTGCTTTAAAATGAAAGTTCAGAATGTTTATTTTTGATGTACAATAATTAAAAAACAAACTTGAAGGAAAACATGAAAAGTGTATTCATTTACTCACCACATTTGCTCACGCTGTTTCAGACCTGTATTACTTTCTTCGATCAAGCTAAAATAATTATTATATAATTATTAAAACTCACTTTCACTGTATGGGAAAAGAGCAGCCTAAGAAAAGCACGTTATTGATTTAGAATGACACGAGTGGCTTAATGACTGATTTTTTTTAATTTATTTTTTTTTATAAGAGTTAAATAGTAAGACCAAATTACTAACATAGTAACTAACATACACACACACACACAAAAGCTTTGCTGGATGGAATCTGATTATTTAAGTTTTGGGTCACACAAAACTTAAATGTTGTGTTCTTTTCCATTGTACTTTCTGATGGAGAGGAATGGAGTGCTTTGACCCAAATACGCTGGGAGTTGCTAATGAATCCGAAACCACAATTCAATTTGGGTCAATTAAGTTGGTGCCAGAATTGCCTGATGATTAGTTACTAGATGGAGGGTTAAAGGAGAAATCTATGAGGGAGAAGTCCACCGACAGCCTTTTACAGTGCTCCACGTGACCTGTTGTTGTCAAAAGTTCCTGTCTGCAGCCACCCTCAGGCTCATTGGATGAGTGCCTAATTTGCTCAGCTCTTCTCAACCAATCAGACAGCTCCCCGAGGAATAGTGACGTAATGCTCTCAGTGCAGTCTCTGGCAGCCTACCAACAGGCAGTGGATTGTTGTGTTGGAAGCATCTGATTGGTCGGTCTGAGCTGGAACTGTGCCAGTTATTGACAGGGGAGTGAAAACAATAACAGCTTAAAAGAGCGGATGAGGACCATTGCATATCATTTAAGGTGGAGACTGTTAAGGTGGAGCAGACATGTAAAGCATTGCTGTTAGTTTGTTTTGTACCATGAGACATTGCAGACATAAAAAAATGACTGACAGACTCTGCTTTTCAAAATTTGGTAACACTTTATTTTGGTAGTCCGCTTTAGACATTCTACTAACTTGAGTAACTTTGCAACTTAGTAGAATGTAACGTAATAGAAACTTAGTGGAATGTCTAAAGTGGACTGTTGAAATAAAGTGTAACCCAAAATGTAATGTTCCAATTTGGGCCTGTGCCCGCAGCCAGATTATTTTGATAGCGGCTGGTTCTGAAATAGATCTGTCATGACAGCAACAGTTACTCACAATCAGAGTATGTGAGCGGAGCGCGGAGTGGAGCGGTATGATTTTGAATGGAGCGAGGAGCGGATTTTTTTAAAAGTCGGAGCATCGTGTTTTTCACTCTCTCCAAGAGCGCTCCACCGCCACTCCATCACGAGCAGCAATTCGTGCCAACAGCCCGTAATATAACTGCATATTTGTCAAGAATTCACATGTTAAACATATTTAGCTAGCTTGATAGAGAAGGATCACTCAAATCAGAAAGAATGTGAAGGCTATGATTACGGCAATGGACATGAGCGGGAAGTTATAGGCCTAGTGCTCAAGGAATTTGTTTGTTCCTTCTAGATAATGAATATTTTCAGCTGAAAGCATGATTTAAACAAGTGCTACAACATTTATTCACACGCAATCACTCTCAATAATGCATTCAAACAAATGTAATCTCACAGTGCTACTTCATCTGTTTCTAATGAGCAGAAATCTGTAAGAAATGCATCGATCCGTAGGTAAAATAACTGACGAAAACGTACTGTTATTTTCATCACAAACAAAATTTGCACTGCAAAAAGCAGCGATTATACCTTGTAATGCTGACAACCATGTTATTAGCTTGTCATGTGGTAGGAAAAAAAGCCAAACTTACTTGCCGACCCCTGCCGTAGGGTGTCCCATTTGTCATTTTAGCTTTCAGAAGGGTGCTCACGAGCACCCCCTTTGTGGCCGCTATGCGCCCTCGATCTGCACTTCTGCTGAGCCCGCAAGCCTGCGAGCTACGCAGCCGACTTCTACCCGGCAGTCAAAGCGGCATTACGTCACGAAAGTGCGGACTCAGAAGAAGACCGTGAGGGTTTAGGGTGCCATTTGGGACAGGGCCTAAGATTGTCTGATCCACAGAGGATACATGTGATGCTGCCTGTTTCGTTGAAGAATATGCCCAGATAACACTGTGAAATGGACATTTATTTTTCTAAGTGTAAATGTTCTTAAACCTAGTGAACTGCCTTGCCAACAGTCACCAGATTATAGTACATCAATTCTCAGACCAAACAAACTAAAATAAGCACCAACCATTGTCAACAGGGCTACTTTTACATTTATGTATTTAGCAGACACTTTTATTCAAAGTGACTTGCAATACAAAAGAGGAACAAAAGCAGTTTGTCACAGTGCCAATAATACATTTGAAATATACAATGTCAGGTTTATTAGACAGCTAGGTTAGGAAGCAAGCTTGCTTGTGTGTGTGTGTGTGCGTGTGTGTGCACGTGTGCATGTGTGTGTGTGTGTGTGCGTGCGTGTGTGCATGTGTGTGTGTGCGTGTGAGTGCGAGTGTGAGTGCGTGTGCGAGTGCATTAGTTTAAGAGTGTGGGGTGGTTTGTGGTTGCACAAGAGGTGCGTCTTTAGCTTGTTCTTGAAAGTTGTGATGGTCTCAGCAGTTTGGATGGAGGTTGGCAGCTCTTTCCACCAGAGAGGAGCAGAGAGGGTGAAGGTTTTTGAGAGTGACTTTGTGTCTCAGTGTGAAGGAACAACAAGGTGTCACTCGTTCAGAGACGGTAGTTGGCAGGATGGAGCATACGCTTGTAGGAGTCAATTGTGAAAGGGAGGTGCAGTTTTAGCGGCAGCCCTGAAAGTGAATGTCAAAATCTAGAATTTGAAAGCTGATTAAACAACTCTTTCAAGAGTTTTTGACAGAAAAGGAAGAGAGACTGGTCTGTTGGATTTAGTTATGTTTTTTGAGCAGTGGGGTTACCAGAGCCTTTACATACATACATTGATGATGTGAGTCAGCACGGATAGCAATGTTGGTGAGATCTGCTGTAGTAGGTGGGAGTGGATCAGGTCTAAGGGACAGGATGTAGGATGGCTGGCACAGAGAACTTTGGAGACCTCATTCTCCATGAGGGGAGAGAAGGAAGAGAAGAGTGGAATGTGTGTAGGTTGGCTTTGGATAAGGGGTGCAGAGAACTGACTGCTGATGGTTGCCACCTTATCGGTGAAAAAGCTGATAAAGTCATCCGCAGTTTGAGAAGAAGTGGAAGGAGGTGGAGGAGGACAGAGTAGAGGGGTAACACACTGACAAAACCGGAAGAATGTGTCTGCTGATGTTGGTTGGAGTCTGACGGTGCAGTGCAAATTGGCCTTAAGGCTGTATCCTAATTCAAAAATAACCTAAGAATGGTCTTTACTCACAAATATAGCTCCTCACGTGAAGCGTGCATTATACTCTAAATTGATTGCAGTGCAGTTTGACATTAGCATGTTGCTAAGCTAATAACCTTAGGCATACTTCTAAGAGTAAAAATATGCAGCATAATCAGACATTGGGTAAAGCAGTCATTTTTAGCACATTGCACATATTTTATCAATGCATTTTAGTATTGAATAAAATATTTTAATCAGTGTTTCTTTCTGGCTGTCTTGGATCAATTTCAAAATGCATTCTTGAATTGTCCTATCAGTAAAGGATGCATGTGATGCTGCCTTGAAACTTTTAAGACTTACATTTGCTTCCTGATATTTGGAAAGGTCTGTACCTATGATGCCTTAAAATTTTCGGATCCTCAATAGGATATAGACCAATTTGCGAATGACTCCTGTAAGAGTATTCCTTTCTTATGAAATGTTGGAAAACTAAAAGTCCAAAACTCACAAATCAAAAGGGTCACAAACCAAAGACGTTAATGGAATTGTTTCAGAATCGAAAACAAAATCATGCAGTTCCTTACAATAACCCTAATGTCCCTAATGTCACTCCTCCTTTTATGCAAGTCTTTTTAAAGAGGAAGTTGCACACCAAACGGTATATTTATATTTATGCAGATGTTCCGGACAGAAGAGGGATCGCATACAGTAGTCTTTCATCCTGTCCTCGCTGCAACCCACTTCTGGCTGGCCCTCTTCAAACCAGCTCCCTTTTTAAATGTTAATTCCTTTTTTTCCGCTTCTATGAGTCTCTGTAGCTCACTCTCTCAGCATCACATCCAAGCAGCGAGTCATTCCAGTCCCCCACCCCCTTTCCGGCGCTCTTTCGTCCTCTCTCTTTCTCTTTCTTTCATACTTTGCTTCTAAACAGCCAGTCCTTGTGTTGCAGCCAAGTATGATAACCCCATACCTCGTCGTTGCAGACAGGGCTTCATGGGTGTTGTAGTTGCACCGTAGGCCTTTTTGAAACATGACTGAGATGCTGACATCCAGAAATAAATTGCCAAGTGATTGTAATCTCACAGAGGAGAGGGCAACATTGCTGTCACCTTCAAATATTCTTTTGTGACTCTTTCAGTGTCTTTACAGATTAAACCTAATGTGTGCGTTTGCTTCTTTCCTCAGGGTCAGCTCTCCAGACAGCGGCCTGCACTCAACCTCTGCTCCTGGTAGTACAGACCCTGCTGCTGAGGAGCCTGGCCAGAAGTTTTGGGATGAACTGGGCCAAATTGGCCTTCCCCATGATATTAACGTTGCGTCTTTATTCGACCCCACTGGTAGGTAACCCTACTCTAGCAACACTTTTTGCATCTTTCAGTGGTTGATGGTGTTTATTATTCTGTTGCACCTGCAGGCCAGTGTTGCGCTCACCTGCGCTGTGCAGCCTGGTCGGAGGGTGTATGCCGCGGTGAGGGACAGTCGCTGCTGTATGTGGACAAAGCAATTGACTCAGGGAGCACAGAGGTGAGTGACACCCACACCACTGTGTTTGAATGTCTTGTTGGTGGATTTGTTCGGGCTTTCAACTTTGAAATGGTTGTTCCATCAACTTGTTCGACCGACATGCCAGCACCCAATCTGGCCCTTTTCCATGCGCTTTCACCAGTGAAAAGGTAATTCTGTTTTGTAAACCTGCTGACCTCCAACCAGTTACGTTGGAGGCAGAGGGGTGGCATAATTTCCTCACCAAATACACTTTTCAAAAAAGCAACTGAAACGCAAAACAAAACTAGAGCTCTTCCATTACAATTAAACAATTGTATCATGAGATTTAAAGATGACATTTATCAGTTATCATTTATCAGTGTTAATTTATTCATGTTTGAAGATGAACTTTAAGTGAATATTAGATGACTAATGATAATATTAGATGGCGTTGATAACCTAAATGTAAAAAATAGGGGGGAAAACACTCTAATATCGAATGAAAGCTGATGTGGTATTAATATATTGTGCATCCCTAAATGGTATTGTTATTTTAAATTTTTACTTGATATATTTCATTCAGTTATGATGACTTAGAAAGATGACTTGAAACATTTTCTGATTAAATTTGTGATTGTGATTTTTAAAAAAGCTCCAGTTTGGCTGTGTTTGTTTGTAGGGCTGCACAGTTTGGCCCAACAAAGTGATTTCATATCAAACTGACTGTAAAATAATAATATAGCAATGAGATAAGTAAAAATAAATAAATAAAAAGATGACTTACTCTTATTGACTTGATCTACATTTCAAGTAGGCCTAAATAAAGATTGCAGTGCACTTTGTTTATGGGCGGGTTATATAGTAACTTAGTCAGTTACATCATTATTTCTCTCTGTGGACTTGTGGGCTGAATTGGCAGAGCTTCACTGAGCCCTCGATCTAGCATCATTTTAGTGGCAAATGGTTATTAGTGGGGTTGAGTGGGCCTGTGTTTGCGCCAATTTGTATTTGTGAATGCAGTCGCAAACTTGAGCCATAACTTTCCCTGAGAGTAATTTTTGTGGAGGAATGACAAATGCGCTCACTGTTGATTAAGTATTCAGAGTTAATCATGAATTATTGGCAGTGGAAGAGACTGGGGAGGTTGTGTCGCTCCTCTGGTCTTAAAAATATTTTTTAATTAGGAGCAGAGCAGTTCAGAACTGCCATAGCCGTCTCTCTTGTGCAACTCCACTAATTAACACAATGCAATGTGGCAGACACAAGGGCACACGGAACCCGGGCAGGGAAAGCACATTAGGAGTAATTAATTTTTCATATTCTCTTCACCTGCGATCTGATTCTTGAGGAAAAACACATAGCATCTATCCAAATGTGTGGTTATACTACTGTACATGAAATGCAGTTCGGATCTATCAAAACTCCAACAATCCAAATAGAAACGTATGTTTTTAGTGTAATTGTCCATGTTTTCTATGAGATGAGTAATATTAAGCAGACTGTCCTTTTGTTTTGGTGTTTCTGCCTCTGGCACCCACTAATCTGGTATGTCTAGAACACTTTCCTCTGCTTTTCTGCAACAGAAACTGATGAGTCAGTGGGGATATTTGTTCAAAAAATAAATTATCCAAATGATGAATTAGATCTACATCACACTAGGTTTTCCCTATGTGCGAGTGCCCATAGTGACCCTTAGAGTGGTTGCTCTGCAGCTTTATTGCCTGCACGTAGAAGCTGTTCAGTAATCCAGCAGACTTTGGCTTAATGTTTTGTTACTGTTTGACAGACAGAGAACAATTTATTACTGGGGTGACCGAGGTCTTTCAGGGTAGACCTGGTCTTCTTAACGCCAAGCCCAGTTGATTTGCTGTATGTAGAGTAGCTCACAGCCAGCCAGTATGCTCTTAGCACTGTGGCTGCAATTCGGTTGGAATATACTTGCTGGTTTATAGATGTTATATTTTGCATGTCATAATTTTTCTTAAAGGGGTCATATGATGCAATTTCAATTTTTCCTTTCTCTTTGGAGTGTTACAAGCTCTTGCTGCATAAAGAAGATCTGTAAAGTTGCAAAGACTAAAGTCTCAAATCCAAAGAGATATTCTTTATAAAAGTTAAGAGTCAACCACGCCTACCTAAAACGGCTCGTTCTAACGCGCCCCCACATGTCTACTTCACGATGTGGGAAGATTTGCATAACGCCGCCCAAATGTTCATGCAAAGAAAGAAGGCGTAACTTTTATTCTCATTGTAGTATTGTTGCTGCCGCCGCCGAGAGACGGTGTGTGTTTCGTTGTGAAAGCAAAACTACTTTGGTTGGCTTTCCAAAAGAGGACGATATCCGCTTTGTCATGCCTGGAGCTGATCCGTGCTGGTCGCTGAGGAAATACATCAACTTTGCGCTGTGGATCGCCGGATCGGCTTTCACCGTGGACGAAGCGGAGTCCAGCCCGGGGTCGTCACATGTGGTTGCCACAAGCCCGCCGGACGCTCCTTCGTCGAATCCGCAGCCT